TTGCCAGAGTGCTCAAACTGACAAGTCAGTGAGCTCTGCATAACGCAAACAGCAAAGGCACTACCTATAAGGGTAATATTGTTATAGGGGTAACCGGTTCATTTCATACACATACGTCATAATGCATGGATTTTGTTCATTTTTACACTCTTCAGAGCATAAAAAACTGACATACATGCACATTATGTACAGAGCAAGGTGCCCACTGGTGCCCCCATTGCATTTCGTCATGTCCCAGCGACTTATCAAGTGAAGCTTGCCCTACCTGGATAGTGGGCTCTACATCTTCCCTGCTAGATATTGTTATAAAATGGAAAATGTTGATTGGTCAGCCCATTTTATATCCTTATAGTGGTAATATCGTTATAGCAATATTGTTATAAGGGTAGGGCATTGTATACAAAAGCCATATGAGTGATTTGGTTTGGCAGAAAAATATCGTTATAAGGGTAATAATTATCGTTATAGAGGTTATCGTTATAAGGGTAGGTCGACTGTACAGTAAATATCGGATATAACGTGCCCCTTTGATTTTCGAAAATTTATCACTATATCCGGTGCATCACTATAGCCGATCTGCATGTTTGACCGACACATGGCACATGACTGCACATGAAATGATGCGCTGGAAAAAGCATGCTGAAAGTGCATGCATGCTCCGCGGACTGTGTGAGAGGCAACACAGCCAGAAACAGACAAGAGCATGCAGAAAGATACAGAAAAGGACAAGACCATACAAAGGGAGCGAGGGGTAGCGCAGCCAGAAAAGGACATGTGCATACAGAAACGGACAAGAGCATACAAAGGGAGCACATTGCAAGGGGCCAGAAACGGACATGTGTGTGCAGGTAAAATAATGGGTTGGTGCAAAAAGAGATCATGAGTACGTCGAGTGACATTCGTGACCACAGCTAACAGGGACACCTGTCTAAAATTGAGAATTTTCTCTCAGCCACGTCTGCTGCCAGATGCAACCAGGCAACACTGGATCAGTTTTGGAAGAAGTGAACTTTATTGAAAAAACAATTGTTTTGTGATCATCACTCTTGATCATTATATGCGATATTTTCCTGTACATTTGATATGGTTTGCTTCCTGAAGTCCATCACAATAAGCGATATATCGGTATAGCCGATAATAGTGTATATAGTGATATTTTAGCTGTATTTTTTCTGATTTGATTTTGATTTTGACGTGTTCTATCACCGGTATATCATTATATCCGGTCACTTTATAAACGATACTTACTGTACTTGGTTTTAGTTTGCATGCCTAGCTGCATCTGCGCTGCACTGCACTGCCACTGCACTGGCATGGTAGACGTACATAGTCGTGTAGATCTACATCATTGGAAAGGCTTCCTGTCTGAAGCCTTTCCATACTGGTACTCGATGTTCCAGTTTTGTGACACGAGAATGGCACGAGAATTAGTGTACCGCTGAGTGTACCGCTATACACGTGGTCGACACGTAGTCGACACGTTGTTGATACTTTTTTGACACGTGACCCCGTCAACGGTCTGCTTTGTGCCAATGCCACTCGGTAAACGCCGATGTCGCGTACGACAAAGACCACTATCCCGTACGCGAAATAGTTGAGAACTGCATGACGTGGACCTGACGGCAAGGACAACTGCGAGGAGGCCCCTTTCGGTACCCCTGACGGGAAGGAGAACTGCAGAAGTCGACGAAGTCGAACGAGGAGGCCCCTTTTCCGTACCCCATACTGCAAAGTGCCATTGATGGATACCTTTTGCACCTGGAACGACCCCTTAAACGCTGTCGCGGCGACTATCCCGTACGCGAAATAGTTGAGAACTGCTGACGTGGACCTTTTGCACCTGGAACGGCCCCGGCCCCGTAAACGCTGTCGTGTCGGCGGAGTGAATGTGCAGGGTACTACACGTGTGGGGTGAAAAGAATTGCTGCAAAGACCATGAAGACGTCCCCTCTACTAGGCTCTAGGCCTTTGCCTTTGGAGACATCGTCGGCGAACTGAATGCGCAGGGCGAAAAGAATTGCTGCAAAGACGTCCGCTCTAGGCCTTTGGAGACATCGTGGGAACTCCTTCCGGTACTATACAAACTGCTGACGTGGCCGTGGACATGTACATGGAGAGTCATGGTGGGACTTCATGTACATGGATACATGATGCGAATTCCTTCCGGCACCCTCGTACCGCAAAGCCAACGGTGGGGAAGGAGAAGTGCAGACGTGCAGGAAGACGAACGAGGAGGAACCAGGACGAGCGAGCAATGGCAGGACTAGCTGGACCGTAAGTAATAGCTGAATTGTGCATGACAACTTGACATCCATGCGGCACTTGCCACTTGCCACTGCATATTTCTTGTCCACTAACAATGTCAATGTCTCTCCTCTGCCCCCTGTGTGTCCACGGCCCCGTTTCTGAATTGGCCCGATGAATCGAATGTCTTCCGCAACTGGAACGGCCCCGTGAACGCTGTCGCGTCGGCGACTGAACGCGCAGGAGGGAAAATATTGCTGCGAAGACGTCTCCTCTAGACGACGGTAAGGCACCCCATTGATATGTTGCCAGTGTGTGCCAGGGTATCGCGCGATGGTGAATGAAGAATGATGAAGGGTACGGTGGGACTGTAGACCTGTTACCTTCTACTACTGTAACACGTTATCAGGTGGAGAGTGTCTTGTACTCACGTTATCAGGTCGAGAGCGTCTTGTACTCACGTTATCAGGTCGAGAGCGTATTGTAGTCACTCTCTCTATTCCTGTACTTCATTACGTTTAAGGTGTACGTATAACTTCTCAAAAAAAATTAATGGTCTACAGTCGTGTCGGAAGGGTACGGTGGGACTGTAGACATGTTACCTTCTAACACGTTATCAGGTGGAGAGTGTCTTGTACTCACGTTATCACTATTATCAGATCGAGAGCGTATTGTAGTCACTCTCTCTATTCCTGTACTTCATTACGTTTCAGGTGTACGTATAACTTTTCCAAGAAATTTAATGGTTCACGTCTTCAGATAGAGAGCGTATTGCACCCACTGTCTAGTCTCTGTAGTGCATTGAGATTTTGTTGATCGAACATGAAATGGATACACAGACAAAGCCAGGCCAAGTACATGGCGAGATGTCGCCAGAAGAACGTCTTCAGGTAGAGAGCGTATTGCACCCACTGTCTAGTCGATTTTGTGGATCGCACATGAAATGGATACACAGACAAAGCAGGCCAAGTACATGAGAGAGTGGACGATGTGCAGATCGACACGGCCTGCGGGTACTTCATTAAAGTTACCCGTGACATAACTAGGATAAATGTTAATCACTGCAAAAACATTGCCAAGTATGTGAGCACTTTGGACTTGACAGAAGAGTGCATGGGCGACGTTGACAAAACATACAATGGTGACTGTCGCTATCATGACAGCAGGGGCACATCGCACGCAGCATCGCAGATCGTGTCGAATTGCGCATCATAATATTGCAAAATTGCTCCTGTGCATGCAAGTGGATTTCATTGCACTTCTCAGTTTGGGAAATGCTCGATTATGACAATTCTCCGTGTGAGTGCACTAGCCCTGAACAGACATGTAGGTGAACCGTTTGTGGTGTCTCATAGCCTACCTCACGACCTTCTGCTTTCTTGCTTCATCACTTGTATCTTGCAGGTATATCATCCCGTGACGACCACATTGAAGTCTGAATTTGAAGTGTGAAGATGCTTCAGCAACCACATCGTACTTTTCCATTGCTTTCATTGTGCTTCTACTGTGCATGTGTGTAACTTGTGGGGTAAACATGTGATGACATTGTATGCTGGCGACACGGTCAGATGTTCATGCGTCTAACGTACACCTGCATGTTATGCATTGAAAAAGGGTTTGCCACTTGCGATCCTGGGACGAGTATCAGGTCCGCTTTGTCCTATGTGGGCTGTATCAGATTGCTGTTCACTTCTCTATCTGTTGGATATGTGACTTTCTGCAAGTTTCTGGTGTATGATGGCCATGTCCTTGCTTGTCACTTTGTATGATATTACATTCTGTATTCGCTGCTTCCATGGCATGGTCTGCAAACTGCAATCCTTGGGCAAATGTCATGTTTGCTATGTTGTGCTTTGGCCGTCAGCTTGTCTACGCGCTGTAGTTGAATTATTTTTGTTTCACAACTGACTTCCTCAAGTACGGTGGCCACTGCTTTGCATGGCATTATACATGAAGAATTTCCTGTTTGTGTCGTGTGCATGTGCGTATGTGTGCGTGGCCACGTGTGTGTGCCGTGTGCATACACATGTTTGTGTATCTGTGTGCGGGGTAGCGAGGCGGGGAGAGCTGGTATGTATCAGTGTGTTATTGCAGTCGCATGGCTACATACAGTACATCGCGCGCGTGGTCATCATGTTTACCTTCGGGGTTGGGGTGGGGAGGGAACGGAAAAAGACCTGAAATTATCCATATAAAAATCGCTCTGTGAGCGGTTCTGAAAAACCTTTACTGGTACTGCCCCGTCGTAAAAGTAAGAAATTAGAACTGGCCCATTGTCCCCCCAAATGCGAACTGATCCACCTAAATCGCGAATGACGGGACCCGAACGCACCAGTAGCGCGAGGTTCCTACCCGTGGATGCAGATGGGGACGTTGGTCTGGACCATAGGCCATGTACTGTACTAGCGGTAGGCTTCCCTATCAAAATAATAAATTCTACTACTACTAGTGTTACCCTATGATCCTGTGCCCTCCCGACCTCGTGCTACTGGTGCGTTCGGGTCCCGTCATTCGCGATTTAGGTGGATCAGTTCGCATTTGGGGGGACAATGGGCCAGTTCTAATTTCTTACTTTTACGACGGGGCAGTACCAGTAAAGGTTTTTCAGAACCGCTCACAGAGCGATTTTTATATGGATAATGGCCATTACATGGTGCTAGCATGCGCGATATGCTGTGCTGTTTGGTAGTGTGGCCCACGTGATACATGACACGTGCGCATGCACGTCCACGTCCAGCACTTGGACTTGGAGTTCAGGCAAAGCAGTAAAGCAGCGACAATCGCCGCAACCGTCGGTCGTGTCTTCCCCTACAAATACTGGACATCGAGTCTTTTCGCCAGTCGACTCACGCCACGGATCTGTGTTCTGTGAAGGTTTGGCTTGTCCTCGATTTTCAATTGACTGGGAGCTCCATTCCCACCAGGACGGACGACTTTGCTTTTTCAAGAGCGGCTGTCCATCTTCAAACAGTGTACAGTGGCGGAGCAAGAAACGTGAGGAAATGCTGCCAAAGAAACGAAGAGCCACGGTAAGGTGTTCAAGACTGAATGCATTGCGCGTTTATGTGTTGACGTGTTCCAAGCACTGCTGACTCGCTCTTGTTCTTGTAGGATGCTCCGATGGCACACAAGGAAATTGAGAAACGGCGCAGAGATCGCATGAACGAGTCCTACACCATGATTGAGGCCCTCTTGCCGGGAACCAGAGCCAACTCGGTGAGTAAGCGAGCAAGTGAGTGAATGAGTGACAGTCCCACACCACTGCGCTGTTGCATGGACGCTAGCCACCGTGCGTCCCACCTCATGGCCTCAGTGTTTGGGGCCGTGCGACTCGTAGTCGTAGATCAGAAAAAGAAAATAATTTCTTGTGAAAGATACCGCACGTGAGTACTGTCGGCTGTGGTGTGCTGGTTTTCTTTCTGCACACGAGCTGTCTTTGGTGCGCAATGTCGTGTGCGGGTGTGTGTGTGTGTGGTATGGTCACTCATTCCAAACGCGTATGTGTACTTGTCTTTGGTCGCATTTTTGTTGTTGTTTCAGGCTCATAACCTGGTCAAGGTGGAAGTGTTGCGTCGTGCCATACAGCATATCAAAAATGCCCATAGCAAGAGTGAGTAGAAGAGTAGTAATGTAATGTACTGTCTGTTGACATGTCTGCATCCAGCATGTTCTTGTCTTGTTTGATTGTTGAAGCCATACATGATGTAAGGTTTGAAAGCGATGACGTCAAAAGTTGTCAGAAGTCCAAATCTAATGGCAAAATAATAAACTTGTGGATCACTCTACAGTCCATTCAGAGAAAGATGATATCCTAGCTTTTGGCCATAAACGGGTCAAATTTTGAGTTTTCGTCACAACTTTTTTTGGCAATCCCCCATGGAATGCTCTTCCAATTGTGTTTTTGAAGTCTATTTCTCCAAAGAGCAAACCATAACAAGAATAGGATTTCGGCCAGGTTTTGACCCCAAAGCACTGAATTGGGGAAAAACCATGAAAATCCAGGCCTTTCACTCCACTTGCATAACAGTATGATTTGCGGTTCGAACCCCAGTTGAGGTACCGTTTTTGGACCCTTTTTTCAAGTTTCGAATCTCGCGGCACTGCACAGTGTACCACAAAATCGCCAAATACGGGAGCTCTCCAGCGCCAGCGCTCATCTTTTTTTCTGAATGGACTGTACCCATGCATGGGGACCTAGTTACTAGTGTTGCCAAAAAAATCCGGCCAATGCCAAGGGTAAAGTGGTATGGTACTTTATCGCTCATGGTGGCATCATGCATTTACACTACAGTAGACTCGTACGCCCAAGAACGCGGTTTCAGACGGCCAGCCTAGCAAAGTTCTTATTTTTCAGCGCCCCAGGCTACATTAATATTTCGCGTTCTTACGCATCCAACATGACCCGTGACGCTCATGTACAATGCACTTTGCGCTACATGTACCGGTTGTACACTTTACATGCACGTGTAGTATGTAGCGCTGCACTGGGTGATGTTTTCGCGAGGACCCGACAAGAGTGCAATACCAAAAATTGTCGCGTTCTTAAAAATCTTGGAGTTCGTTCTTAAATCCAGGCTGGGGCGTTCTTAGATTTCCAGCCTGGACGTTCTTGGGCGCCACGTTCTTGGGCGCCACGTTCTTGGGTGTGCGAGTCTACTGTAGCAGCACAGCACTGAACAGTCTGCACTGTACTTTGCATGCTGCAGTCGGGTCGAGCACTGCACTGAGCCGAGTATAATTATGCACATGATGCAGGCATGGCATAGGCGTGGCATGTGCCGTGCACTAGGCAGTAGCATTGTACGGCTACCAGTAGCTAGCATAGCATTGGCTGAATGTTGTTGGTGACGACTGTAGTATGAGATGTAGTATGAGATGTAGTATGAGATGTAGTATGAGATGTAGTATGAGATGTAGTATGAGATGTAGTATGAGATGTAGTATGAGATGTAGTATGAGATGTAGTATGAGATGTAGTATGAGATGTAGTATGAGATGTAGTATGAGATGTAGTATGAGATGTAGTATGAGATGTAGTATGAGATGTAGTATGAGATGTAGTATGAGATGTAGTATGAGATGTAGTATGAGATGTAGTATGAGATGTAGTATGAGATGTAGTATGAGATGTAGTATGAGATGTAGTATGAGATGTAGTATGAGATGTAGTATGAGATGTAGTATGAGATGTAGTATGATATGTAGTATGAGATGTAGTATGAGATGTAGTATGAGATGGCGTGGGTTTGGTCCCTCGTGTCACATGTACAGATATGGTAAAGGTAAGTTTGATAAATAATCTACGTGGAGATAATAATTTTAATATAGCTATGAATAGGATGAAGGTAAGTTTGATAGATCAACATTGTACAGGTACGCATGTTTTTTTCTGTACCAGGAGGGAATCCCCCCCCCCCCTTGGGAGGGCCTCATTCCAGTCACTACCGGTGGATGTGTCACTCTGCTGTGAAGGAAAACCACCCAAACAACTGCATCCCTACAAAACTGGATCCAAGCGGATACAAAACTGGATCCGAAGCGGATCCAAACATCACAGTTTGTCACGGCTGTGATGTAGCACTTTCAAGCCCTACTTAGAAAAAAATCTTGACCTACAAGGCTACGCTACGGTCTACAGCAACGTGGTGTGGAATAGAGTGCTCATTCGGCATCCCTCTGGTAGGGAGTTCGGTAACGTAACGTGACAGGTGAAAACTGCAGCTGTGACTCTCACATGGGCCCTGTGTGGCAGCTGTTTGGGCTGACTTGAAGCCCGCTTCTATCTTCTACCTAGGCCTCTTCTCCCTGGTCAATGCTATTCTGTTTTTTGGAGCTGATGTCATTTCTTTCATTAACACGGATGACATCACATGCCCTCCTCTCGCTCATTTGATCGGATATTGACACCGTTATTAGGCATGACACTGAAACGGGAGTGCTACATAAGCTGCTAATAATGCTACTTTGGAATGCACTCATGTTATGTATAATAGTGGCATTCCAGTATACGCATGTGTGTGCGCATGCAGTACAAAGTCACAGGGCAGGCCGTATGCACTGCACTGTACTCTGCTCGACGTGCATGGATGCGCATGTACAAACACGGCAGTCGAGGTGACGTAACAAATACTCGCCATGAGAAATATTGGGTCGAATGTGAAATCCGAACGAATATTAGAAAATTCGGTATATTCGTTTCACTACTACTTTCCAGTGATTGCACACATGCTGTGTTCGGAATAAATGTGGAGATGTGCTTTGAGCAGCGCCATTTCAAAGTGCTGGTTTCGGACTTATGCATGCCGTGCGCTGGCAGGAACAGTCGATTTTCGTGTTCAGCGGCTTCGACTCAGTCTAAAACAAGATATCCTTTTAGAAACCAGCCTGCAGCCATTTACCGGTGATAGGCCAAAATATCGAAGTGAACTGTGAACAATGAGAAGTGGTGATGATGAAAACGTGGGAGTTGCGTCAGTACGCGCACATGGCATGCATGCGCCAATCCTGTATCGCCGTGCACTTCAGTTCTCACTACAGCTGTCCGAAATAAAAAGAACTATTCCTACTTGTACAGTGTAGACAGTATAGACTGGCTGTGTATTGCGCAACAATCAGTATAGTGACGTTGGTGCGGGGGGAGGGGGGGTGCATGTGTGTGTGTTCGTGGGGGGGGGGGGGGGTGCGTGTGTGTGTGTGGAGGGGGGGGGGGGGTGATGTGATGTGTGTGTGTGTGGGGGGGGGGGGGGGGTGCATGTGTGTGTGTGGAGGGGGGGGGGGGGGGGTGCATGTGTGATGAATTTGCTGGAATCAATACCGTAGAATCCCGCGGATAAGCCCATGGGCTTATCTGTTTCACAAGGACATTTCGGTGGGCTTATACGACAATATGGGTGTAGGCAGTTCTCATTTTTACATGCACATGTACTACAGTCTATGCCGCAGCCGAGTCATCTCATGTATCGTATATTGGTATGCTGTGCTTGGTGAAACGGTACCCTAGCCTATTCTTTGGCCCTAGACAGTACTGTGCTGTTAGTTACATCATCATTGGCTAAACACAATGGGCCATGCTTAGATGTGTACATTGGGTAAGCAGTGGCTAAACACAATGGGCCATGCTTAGATGTGTCTGCAGCATGATGATTATAGGGTTGCAACGGGTAGGGGTTTGGCCGGGTAACGAGTTTGTGTATTTCTAATTTTCTCTTCGGGTAGCACAGGTACCCAGTCAGGTATTTTTTGACAAAGTTTGTACAGTGCGTGTGCAATTGTGCTACATAGAAAGTGTACAGTGAGCACATACAGGCAGCGTTGCGAAAATACCGCACTCCAACTACCGCACTCCAACTACCCTATCGGGTTCTGTTCTAATTACGGGTAGCACGGGTACCCTAGTACTAGTAGGCGATACCACCCGTACTAATGATGAAGTAGCCGATGACACCCGTACTAATGATGAAGTAGCCGATGACACCCCTACATTGTAATGATGAACACGCTGAGAGTACATCTACCGGTACTTCCTCTTCTGTTGTGTACTAGTGGCAGAGGCGGGAGGGACAGTGGCAAAGCCAGTGACATCACCGTCAACATCGGCGATGTCACTGCCACCATCGGCAGTGGATGCTTCGTCTGCCATGGCAGTGTCAAGCTCAACTCTGCACCAAGACGAGGTTGCTGGTGATGGTGATGGTGGTGGTGGTGGTGGCAGTGCTGGTAGGGAGTTCAACGTCAACCTGCATAGGCTTAGAGGCATACAGGACTGCATCCAGGATTCACAGCAGCTCCTGATAGAAAACGGGATGCCAGTGCGAGATCCAGAGCACGTTGCTATAATGTCACGTCTCGAAAGCTTTTACAGTTGCCAGGAGAGCGCCTTGAAGTCACACAAGAAGAAGAAGACAAGTTCGTATGGTAGCAGTGCTAGCACCACGATCACCAGTCAAGCCACCGCGGCGGATCCTGGAAACCACTTACCCGTAAGTTCAAGAAACGGCCAGCGCTCAATTACGGAGTTGATAGATGCAGCCAATTTGATGCTGCACAGCACTCCCGAACCAGGCCAGGCATACTTAGCAGACCCGGCAGCGCTAGAGCTAGAGCCAGAGTCACTGCCAGTGCCAGACACAGCTCCAACCTATGGCCTGGATCTCATCTCAACAGTGGCTACAAGAGGAGTAGGCCGTGGGAACAGCACACCAGCTGACAGGCCTGCACCTATCAGTGCATCCACACTGCCTGATGCTAGTGCCACTCTTCCTGCTGCTAGTGCCGCTCTTCCTGCTGCCAGCGCACCTCAAGCAGTCTTCCAACTCCCCACCGCTAGCCAAGCGCAGCAGCCTCTGCAGTCTCCAGCACAAAGCGCTACTCAGCACTACCTGTTGGTGCCGCAGTCGGCAGCAGGCGTGTCCACCGCACCAGTGCATTTGACCCCAACAGGTGTTCTTCACACCAGTGCTTCAAACACTGGTGTGACAGGTGCAGCTGTAGCTCAACAGCACCATATCATACCTCTCATTGATCAGTCTCACCTAGCCATGCTGCGCACAAGCGATGCTGAACAGGGCTTTTCCAACCAGTTAGTACAGGTGCCGCAGCAGCAGCAGCCGCAGCCGGTGTTCTCAGTAGCTGCCAACATGCTAGCCCTGGCATCATCTACAGCAGCTGCGGGTGCAGCTGTATCAAGCATGCCAAGCATGGTCTCTGGTTGGTCATCAGCAGGGATTCCAGGCGTCTCAGCTGTGAGCAACATGGCCAGCACTGATCCTCATCCATCTGTCTAGTACTGTGGATACACTGAGCTATGCGTGCCCGCATCGCTCTACTGGAATGCTGTAAGTAAAAGAAATAACGTCAAATGCTCATCTTCCCACAAGCTGGTCTTGAACATAACCATGCCTCAGGTTGTCTTGTACAAAGCTCCTCCTGCTCCTGCCACTGTTACTGTTACCATTCTGATACAGGTTCCAACTAGAGAATCACCTATGCCACCTGTTGCCTTGTACAGCATATGTATGGTTTGCCCTTTAGTCGTGTCTGCCCCTTTCTTCATATGTAAATATTGACCTATGTTGCTTCCTCTTCCTATAAAGTTACGCCAACTGTCCTAACGTTGTACAGCACCGTCCTCACCCACAACCCACTCACAGGTGTACAATCTCGCACAACCTATTCACCAGTGTACACTTCCCCGCACCTCTATATAGGCTATAGTCATGTGACTGACTCATACTCATAGTCAATGCTGACATTGTGAATAAGACCCAGCTGTATAATTTCTTATCAAATTGTATGTGCCACCATTGCCAACTGATCCGGCGTATAGACACTATACATTGCACTGTTCATTTCATCAGTATGGTACATCAAGTATCCCCGCTGCAGCGAGCAGCCACCATCCGTTTTCTCTCTTCCGCGAAGCAAACCTAGCAACGCTGGCAGGATGAGTCTCAAGTTTGTTGCGGAGATGCTTGACTGTATCCGCTGTCCGGCATGCAGTGCTGAACACCATCACATCATCAGTCTCGGCATGGCATTGTATATAGTGTACTACTATCACATCGTGGCATGGCATTGTATATAGTGTAGATATGAACGCTCTCCCGTTTGATTTCTACTGTGCAAAGTAAGTGCCGGGAGATTCGGCAACATGCTACTCTGCTACTCTGCATGTACTGTCTATCCCAATAACATGTACATGTGTATGGTGTGTACGAAGTTATTGTTTTGATTATCACAGCACTATTATAACACAAGTACAGCCACTGCCGCTATAGTATACACAGTGATCTAATTATTATTTTATCAGTTCCTAATCGGCAGCCGTGCTGCTACCCACGTGCAGTCAACTGGGAACATGTGGCCAGGAACGAGCGGTGCATTGATGCGGCTGATGGTGTTGTGGGCACTTGTGGTGCCAGTGGTGTGGGACGTACCTCCTCACCCCACCGTTAGGCGCAGCATCTGCCGCTGGATTCCGGTGTCAGCGGCCGCCGTGAGTTCCCTCGGGAGCGGACACAATAATTTACTGTTTTTGAATAGTAATGAAACGGCTGATTCATCCTGCTATTTTAAAATTATGTTGCATGGCTCTGAAGGCTGAACATCTGGTACTTCTGTCTTTTTTTTGTGGATTGGGCAGTTGTGCGCCAAAACTCCTCTTCTGCGCCATTCATATCTTGTCGGTTTTTGTGAGTGGGTGTGAATGTGGGTGTGTGAGTGAGTGTGTGCGGGCGTGCATGTGTTTGCTAGGACTGGCATGCATAAGCGACATTGGGATGAGCTTAGTCAGTAGTGCTCACAACTGCTGCCCCCCCCCCCCCCACCACCACCAGGGATAGAGCCAGGATCTGCTATGAGGCATCCAAGCCGGGGTGCTCGCATGCATGATTTCTTTGTTTCAAAGAACCGAGTGCATTACCGGTGGGCATACTGTGGTGGGTGATTATGTGCTTTCAAGACTCGAAAGTGGATGGCCGCTATCTTTTTTTCCTTTTTTTAATGTCAGTTTGCATTTTCAAGAAGGCTGGGTGTTCATGCTTTCCCGTCCACTTGACTGACTCCTGGCTTTCTTTTGAATATTTCCGAAGTAGCTATACCTTTAATCGGCTCGGAGACAATAATTTGAATAATGCTACAAACAATTCATAAAAAATAAAAGGACCAATGAACTACAAGTTGCGCTGTCATGTCCACTAACACCACCAGCTACTTAACAATCAGCTCATGCGATAACATTGCACGGCACTGAAGGACGGAGCTGATTGTTTAGTAAATGGTGGTGTTAGTGGACATTATGGCGTAGCTTGTAGTTCCTTAGTCCTTTTTCATTTTTTATAAATCAATCCTTGGCTCTCCATGCTACGAACAATACCAAACTTCCTCATCCGGCTACGAGTATACACACATGTAAGCGAGGTCGGTTTAGTTTTTCTCCAAGAACGGTTTCCTGTGATATTCGTCAGTTGGAATACATGTACATCACAATCAAAAATCAGAGAAGAAGAACAGAATATTATTATGCAGAGAAAGTTTGTATTTGAGCAATTAGTCACTTGCTCAATCTCTGTATACATGTATACTTAGCTACTACTAGTACCGGTACATGTATTCTGTTCTTCTTTCCTGATTTTCTGATTGTGATCTATTCCAACTGACGGTGCCACAAGAAAATGTTCTCGGAAACACTCAACCGACCTCGCTTACATGTGTGTATTATGATCATGAGTCATGAGTGCGCTTTTGGTCCATAGCCTTTATTACAGCTACCATTAATATTTAATACACGGGCATTGCAATAATAAGGGCGCCGGATGTCGTAGTATGGAGAAACCCTCGGTCATGCAGGTGCGAACTGATACTCTACAGAGAAGATTCTTTTAATTAACGGCTTTATCGGCTGAAAAGAAATCCCCGGCCGTACATGTACTATTCTTTGATGCAGGATATTATTAAAATACTGATAATCGCTCGTGCAGAGCCTGCAGGTAAGACATAGGCAGTTCGCAGGCTGATATTCACAGCACTGTCAACCTTGCGAATAACGACCCTCCATCGGCCGGGTACTGAGTAAATCGGCCCTGTTGCAATGGGGTATTATAAACATTAAACAGTGAAGTGAAAATATTCAAATTTGTCGATTTCCAGAAAACGTGGATAACTTTGTACGAGACAAGTCCTGTGTGCTAGTGGACATAGTCCACTGTCTTGCAGTTAGGCATGGGCGGGTAATGCTAGTTATTTACTGCGATAATGCTAAAGGCAATACTCACAATATGAGGATATAATGCCACTTATAATGCTCACCGTGACTACTCCATAATGCCAGTTTGAAAGTTGGAAAAGTCGATTTAAGAAGGCCGTCTTGGATCAAGGCCAAAGCGTAGAAAAAAACTTAAAGCGTAGAAAAAAAACTTAAACAGCAGTGAGCATGTTGTCTGAAACAATCCACTGAGAAGGTTGATTTGCAACGTCAAGTCTCCGGACGAAGCCGGACGGGTTCAGATGCACGATTTTTTCGGAACTGGACCTAGCCAGCTTCATGCATGACACCGTTGTCGACCGGCAATTATGCTTGTAATGCCAATTTTGCGTGCGAAATGGTGTTATAATTCCAGCATTATGCCACCTGAGAAAAGGGACTATAATGCCAGCCATAATGCTAGCGTTACCCGCCCATGCCTACTTGCAGTGTATGGTTCAGAAAAATAGACACCGTAAATAGTTCCCGCTATGGCCTTTGAAATTTGGCTATTTTTGCGATGCTTTTTAGTGATATTGCTGGAGATACTGGCCATTGCTGGCCTGAAAGTAGGCATGGCTCAGTGTGGTAATGATGTGAAGACTACTCAGGCGAGGTAATGTTGGCATGGTGTATGGCTGTTGTACTTGTAGACCCCAAATGAAGCATACCTGCAAAATTTGAGCGAAATCGGTCAGCTATTTGCACGGTTACAGCAGGGTAGGCAAGTGACTTCTACATGATTGTAGACTTAGGGCGCGTTCGAATTATCACTCTTTGACTTTTCGAGGAGTTTCGTTTTTCTGAAGAGGTGGCCTTATTGGCCTCTTCAGAAAAACGAAACTCTTCGAAACTCCACAACCTCATCCGATGGGAGAGGTCGATTAGTTCCGAAGAGTTTGGAATAGCTACGTCGAGATGGTCAATCTGATCTGACGTGCAATGTAAAATAAAACTTCAAACAAACAAAACGTCACTATCGCCATGACAATTCCACTGAAAAACTCTAAAAATGATAGAACCGTTCAGGCGTGAAACTCTGAGTCACAGGCTCACAGCCAACCCAAGCTCCGTATCCCATTCTATTCTTTTTGTAGAACCGTTCTATAGGGCTTGAAAGTGCTACGTCATAGCATAGCAACAATTTCAAAAAATGGATCCACTTGGATCCAGTTTTTGTATGGATCCAAGCACATTTCAAGCGGTCTTACCCACAGCATGGTGATGTAGCCAGTGAAACTGACTGATTTGGCTACTGGGGGCGGGGTTACAACTGGTGGCGAAATAAAAGTCACACCTGCATGCGACATGAGTGGGTTGCTATGCACCCACATACTTAGGCAATAGCAAAGTCACACCTTAGTGGATCCAAAAATAGAAATCTGATGTCAACTTACTACTCCCTGGCCGTTTTGACGTCATCACTTTCAAGCCCTATTGCATAGTAGTAGTAGTAGTAGTAGAATTTATTATTTTGATACGGAAGGCCCTACAGACGTTGCCGTCTTGTTACAGGGAACCCTAAGTGCTCTTTACAGAGCGAAACAAAAACGGATAGATGCTCAACCTGACGACACGAGACAGGCAGCATATTGGGACACTTCAACACTTACTAATCTCTTTTAAAAAATTGTTCGAACAGTTGATGAAGGAATTCGAACGCGCCCTAAGTATGGGAATAAAATGGAGCACAGCCCCGCACAGTCAGTGCGCACACAGCCAAATGATTGCCGTGCAAGTAGCAACGAAAGCGCTAACTCTACAACCAAGTGTCCACCATATCCATGTAACCCGTAAACCGTTTGCGCATGTCCGCTACATTTTACTCAAACGTACTTCTCACCAGGGAGTCGTAAAAGCCCTTTACGAATCCCTGCTTCTCACACCTCACGTCTCTCGCCCCTGTACTAGCTGTCTTCTAGCGCCTTTACTGGCGCCATTGCATCGTGTATTCTATCACCTTTTCCATAATATAAAAAGGCTGAGAGCTAATCATTCAGATAACTACTTACTTTCCCCGGTTACTAATTACACTGATAGCACAGGATGTTTAGTGTTCTGCTTTTGGCGGGTGTGCTGCTCGCTCTGCTTACCGTCCACGTAGGTCTACTCGTCGTTCGGAGGATTATCCAATATCGAGATAAAGACTGCTCAGCGCGCTAGCGTAGGAAGCCGATGGATGCCTCTGAACTCGGAATTGCGGAAGCCGCCACTCCGCCTCACCAAAGAGCCGCCTTTGTTCAGAGCCAATTCCGTCATGTTCAAAGACGTAACTAGTTTGCAGCGGTGATAGACTTGCTTGTCGTTACGACGTTAGCATTCCCCAATGCGGCCCAGAGAGTCGACTACGCTGCAGGATTCTTGACGGGAAACGCTTGTCTTTGGTTGATACTACATGTAGTGGGGGCTAAACAAGTGTTTTCCGACTGCCCGGCTCTGAAGCGAGGCACTCGGCAAGGTGTGTGGGCCACGATACAGCGAGGAAACAGCGCGCTTGGGACTATTTTCCGCAGCTCTGCATGGGCTACTGCTTTCACTTTCCTCAGCTTGCAAAAGCCAGTAATAATTGACGACCGCACGCGCACCATGTACCAGAGAGCGCTGCTGACTGCTGTTTTCCAGGGCCTAGGGCCAGTAGGGGTCTTTGTGCCTCACATCCACCGACAGGGCCTGCGTGAGCATACGCGTCAGCGCCACCGGGCAGCAGATCTAGGTGCCCCTGCTCCCGCGACCACGGGCTTCGCAAGCTGATGGTCCAAGACCACGTCTAGCTGCAGCTGCGGTCAAGCTTCAGCTTGCAGGAAGCCAGGGTCACCTCGATTGCCCCGAGGGTGGACAGCCAAACCCAAACGCTGGTCGCCGTATTACTACGAAAGGGCGTAGATTTACGCTTGCTGGCGCCAACTCAAGCACCCACACACTGTCTGTGACAGTTACCAGCCGCTAACCAATTCAGACCTCTGGAGATTGAGGACGTGGAACGTTGCTCTCCAGAAACTCACGAAGCCGGAACCATCTACAGTTATAGAAAAGTGTAGAACTACTACTAGTACTATGTGCTGTTGCGGAGAGTTGTTTTGAGCAACGTTATGTGACTGTGAGCGTCGGTGATGAACCCGAGCACGGTCGGCTTTGCGTGCATGGAAAGATCAACGGCCGGCGTGCAGTGATGTTGATGGAATCCAGGTTCGACACGTGATTTCATCGCAAAACTACATGTAGAAGAGTTTGTTGACAAAGCACCAGCTTGACACCAATGGAAGTTCCTGCAGATTTCTACACAGCGCGCTAAAGAGTACATAAAGTAAAGGTGACCCCCCGGTGGGGGATCCAGTACAGTGTGGAGCAGCACTTTACAGTTACGATAACCGTTCCGTGGCTTACACACAACTAACTAGTACATAGTTACTATCCCAGCATCAACTTTGGACGGCGAGCCTTTTGTTGCGAAGTACTAGTAGGCTCCAGCTAACCGGATGACACTGTGACAGTGGAGCGCCCAGCCGTGGTGAGTATGTTCATCAGTGGCCGCCAAGCTCATGGCCTGAAAAGTGGAGCCGGGAGGGATTGCATGGGTCAGGAGAACCGACGCATGATCCGGAGCACAACTCCAGGAATCAGAGCAACAGGACATCCAGGACCTGCTCAAGAGGTACCAGGCTGTGTGTTCCATATGAGCTGCCGAATTAGCTTCTCGGAAAGACCAATCAACAGTGAAATCAAGATAGAAGATGGAGCCAGGCCACGATCGCCACCTGCCGCTACCGCATGCCGAAACCAGAGATGGAGGAGCTTCAGCTCCAGTCACAGTTGTCAGAATTGCTTGCAAAGGGATTCATTGAGCCAAGTAAGTCACCATACAGCGCACTTGTGTTTTTTGTGAAGACGTCAGATGATACTCTGAGAATGGTGTGAAGACGTCAGATGATACAGTCTGAGAATGGTGTGCGATTGGCGAGTATCTTTAAGTTTATTACAGTCAAGAACAAAACTTGTTTGCCCAATATTGATGATCAATTTTTTTTGGCACAATCCAGGGCAGTGCATATTTCTCAAAGTTTGACTTGCAGTCAGGGTACAACCAAACCATAATTCGAGAGGCAGATGTTTCGAAGACGGCTATTGATATGTCATTCGACCACTTCTACTTTAGAGGCATTGGGTTCGGGTTGACTGATCGTCTCCCCCCCCCCCCCCCCCGGCCACCTTTCAGTTCATGGATTCTATTCTGAAACCGTTTATCAGAAAAATTGTTCTACATGTACTGAGTAGCATTATCAGGAGACATTCTAGTATTCAGCAAGACCTGGTAGGATTATCGTCATCTTCAAACAGTCTTAGAAACATTCAGAAAAAGCGAGCTGTATTGCAAACAGACTAAATGCTTGGGGCTTAAAATCAACGGCACATCAATTCCCCCTGATCCTAAGTGGTGCTGTGAAAACTGCCTGGCCAACTCTGTCGTCAATGTTTGGTGTCACTGTCGGGAAGTTTCTGGCTTTTTATGCAAATGATTTCATGGGGTGAGTCCGTGGATTTTCTAATGGGCGCGCTAGGCACACCGCGTGAGTCAGCGGATCTTCTAATGGGCGCTATGTATGCAGCGAGAGTTGCTAATGCAAGTGCAGTGGTGTGCCACGAGTCCGCGACTTCGCGGTAACGCATTTCAACTGATGTAATCGCATAACATCCACTGTAAGTTAAAACAAACATCCGGCGCATATTTATTTTCGACTATTTTCAGCCTGGGCATTTCGGGCCAAAAATTTGTTGTGGCTGGAATTTTGTTTTGCAAGGTTCAGTGTTACATTGTGACAGTTTATACGTATACGAGCCTGTACAGACAGCAAGCAGAAGTACAGGCTGATAACTTTATGTGGCCGAAAGAGATTTTAACCCTGGGAGGCCGAAATTTAAATACGCCAAAAATGTGTGGACTTACAGTATAAGGCTTGAAAGTGTGACGTCACAGCTAGCCCGGAGTCATGACAACGCTGACTTTTGGATCCGCTTGGGTCCAATTTTTGTTTGGATTCGTACCCGTCTGGGTGGTTTTCCTTCACAGCATACTGATCCAATCGACCGGTAGTGACGGGACTGGGCCATTCAGGTCAGAAACCCACTTCTGGTACATGAAAAATCACACCTACATGTACGTACGGCACGAGGGGTCCACCCACCACTGCCCTGGGCAGAGTGGGTTCAAAAGTGGGTATAGACCTTTTGCGCGTTGTACAGATGTACGAAGTTCAGTACTAGGGCGTAGGTGTGTACAGCCCCGGTTGGTTGTTCATTGTGTGCTATGCATGCGCATTTGACCAATTTTAGCCTCATAATCAATGGCAAACAATCCCTTTTCCAGCTTCTTCACTTTGGTCTAATGACTAGCTAGATCTTTGTCAGAAAAGGTTTTCGTTTGAAATGCCTTCAGGGCCCATTTCTTAGTGGAAATAGCAGAAAATACAATAGGGTCCTGCACATTCAACACCCATTAGGTTCTACGGTACGGGATTTCGTGCATCTGCTCAACGGGCAAAAGGCTTATTGGTCGTTAGATTTTGACTTCTGACATCATCGCTTTCAAGCCCCTTCCGACGGTTCATAGATCGACACTCGACTATCTCGCGAATAACTTGATCATAGCTGTTGTACATGTGGTTGCCATGAATAGGAAATATCATTCCCGAAAACGGCGAAAACCATGCTAGTGCATCGAGGGCATTGCTGTTTAAAGTGCTGGATTGATGGTGGACGACTGGACTGCAATCATTGCTGGTCCCATGATAGCAGGGACTGCACTTTCCCGGTGCAACCACCCAATCCTAAGAATATGCAAGAGATTTGTGGGAATGACTCAGCAAGATGAAAGTCAGTGTCAGTGTATGGCTCTCAGTGTGCCTAGCTATACAGTGAAACCTGCTGTCTAAGACGACCGCTCCAGCCTCCAGCCGCCAGGGACCACGTACATGGTGGTAGTGTACAGGTGATCTCTCTATCCAGGGACCAGTTACGTACATGGTCGTAGTGTACAGGTGATCTCTTTATCCAGGGTCAGTTGAATGGAGATAACATCCCTTGGCCCTAGTTGTAGTGGTCTTCTGGGAAAGGTGGTCGCCATATCTGTCACCTGTATGTCAATATAACTTATTTTTTATAGACCTGGTCACCGTATTACGCTCTCTTGCGTCAGCTTGGTTGAGCACACTGGTTAGCATCAAGGTATCTACCTAGTACCGTCGTGCAAAGCTCTGTATGTGTCTCGCAATCTGATTTGATGCTTGAGCCATTAGAATGCTTTATTATGGAGGTTTAGCATCACAAATTTCACGTTCGAGCTCGCGAACATTTTTCGGTTCGCGAACTTTCGAGTTCGGAAAAAGTAGTCGAAACACGAATCGCAGATTCGTGTCAGGACAGTCGTAAATTTACTACGCTGTTCTGTCTGTACACAATCATGTACATGTACGACGTGTCAACGTCATGCATGTGCGAATTCTGTTTGCTAATAATTCTCATAACGCAAATTCCCTCACTGAGTTCGACTCCTTGGAGAGCGAATACGAACGCGAATTTCATCTCGCTAAACCTCCGTATTATTCACTTCAAGTGGACCGCATTGCCGCATTGCCATTTGTTCAGCATCTAACTCTGAGCTCCGCTGATGAGACCTAACAAGTTTGAAACAGCTAGCTGTCCGGCGATTTAGCATCGAGCAACTGGCAAAGAAACTACCCCTATGAGCATGACAACGTTCAACGTCCATTCACAACGTTGTTGCCTCCAAACCATCTAATTCGCAAGCCTGCGCTGGGGACAACAATGTGAAGAAGAGGTTGGTGCGACTTCGGCGATAGTAGGGAAGAGTGTGTTGCTCCCTACATGGGAGCTCGCGGTTTTCCTGCTGACTTGAATGCTCACTTGACTGACTCACGACTGCCATCCAGAGCACACGAAAAGTCCATCGAACCGTCCACTCGGCAAACCTGCAAGAAAGCACCACTCCCTGCTCAATACACAGTGTTTCGGGGAATTCACCCCTCATCAGTTCAGCTTGAGTAGGCTGAGGAAGATTGGACTTCTTGTGTGCTCTGGATGGCAGTCGTGAGTCAGTCAAGTGAGAATTCAAGTCGGCCGGAAAACCGCGAGCTCCCATGTAGGGAGCAACACACTCTTCCCCTACTATCGCCGAAGTCGCACCAACCTCTTCTTATCCTATACTGAGTTGCTCATATGCACATAATTTTGGCTGCCTTGTTTATTGTGTGTTCTAAATTGTCTGGAAAATACTTGTAGGGCCTAGACCTGAACGCATACATGATGGTGTTCAGTCAACTAGTGCTATTCAACGGTGCCACGGGTAGCTGTATTGATGATGCATGAGTCCGGGGTCATCACTGCAAGAACCTCTGGACCTAAGCCCGAAGTAACGTTCAACTACATGTATACACAATCTTGGCAGAAAAGAAGTCTGCCCCCTGATGCCCTCATGTATTCTCGGTCTTCGGAAGGGTGTGCCTTCTATTGCTGATGTACCAATGATTTTGAAAGATATTCAGATGCCGTAGTTCGGAGCCTTTTGTCCAAGTCCCAGCATCGCAAAAAAGGGCAGGGAACACCACAACAGCATCCGCCCGACAGCGACACCTCAGATTCAAAGATCGATTCTCAGACAAAACTTCCATCAGACCGTGCCAAAGGCCTCCAGTGCTTGACAATGTGGGCCTGCACGTCCTGGAAATACACAAATGTACAGCATGGACACCCATCAGCAAGCCAAGAAGAAACCATCATGTTACTTCTTTCACCTTCCTCTTTCCTCCTTCCTTATGCAGAAGAAATTTCAGATTTTCTTTTCTAGTAGAATGTTCCGGCTTCTTTCTCCTTCCTCATGCAGACGCAACAAGAGCGGTTGACCAATCACTACAGGTGCGAAGTTCTCACAGCCAATCAGAGTTCAGCAGGAGACCAGCCAGGATGGGCTTTAAAGGGGAAGTTAAGGCAAAAATTAAAATTTCACCAGTTGTAGTCTTCGGGGTGCTGAGTCGAATGGTCTTGGTCCGAGAAAGCTGAGACGCTCCCTTCCTACTTGAATCCCAATCGAACTCGCGCACTTCCACCGAAACTGGGTGACTGCGCCCTACTAGATGGGGATTTGTATGCAAAATGTCACTAAAAGCGCCATTTCGTTCTTATAAAAGCACGGATGACCGCGATTGGCCCATATGTTGTAGTCTTTTGGACGCTGAGTCGACTGGTTTTGGTCCGAAAAGGCTGCGATGCAGCGTTCCTCCTTTATTCCCAATCGAACATGGTTGAACAAGCGGTCACGTGCTCTTGGGTGCCCAAATCACCTGGTCACCACGCCAGCAGGCGACAACTTTCACACCAAGGTTCAACTCGAGTTCAACTCGAGTGACAGGACTGCACCCAAAAAAGGTCAAACAGGCTAGTAAGTTGTACCCTGCAGGCACGGTGACCAGCTGACTGGTGTACGCAGGAGCACGTGACCACTTGTTCAACCATGTTCGATTGGGAATAAAGGAGGAACGCTGCATCGCAGCCTTTTCGGACCAAAACCAGTCGACTCAGCGTCCAAAAGACTACAACATATGGGCCAATCGCGGTCATCCGTGCTTTTATAAGAACGAAATGGCGCTTTTAGTGACATTTTGCATACAAATCCCCATCTAGTAGGGCGCAGTCACCCAGTTTCGGTGGAAGTGCGCGAGTTCGATTGGGATTCAAGTAGGAAGGGAGCGTCTCAGCTTTCTCGGACCAAGACCATTCGACTCAGCACCCCGAAGACTACAACTGGTGAAATTTTAATTTTTGCCTTAACTTCCCCTTTAAAAGTAGTCATTCCAGGAGGGGATGGTGGTCGGGAAAAACAGCGATGATCAGCAAGCACTCGCTGAACTCTGATTGGCTGAGGTGAGGCCGGTTGACGAATCAGGTGTGAAGTTCACAGCTAGCATATGCTATAAAAGTAATCATTCCAGGAGGGTACGGTGG